GCTGTGATATCAAATAGCTTTTGCGGCTCCAGACAAATTTTATTTGGTGGAAAATAGAGCAAAACGGATAGAAAAGGTTGCCGACCCCTGAGCTACAGCAGTTGCATGAGGTTAAGCTCAGAAACACTCACATCCTCATTCCAGTCCTCGGTGCCCCACTCCTCTGTGGCAGACCTCCAGGCCCCTGTGAGTCAAAGAGAAACGGTTCAATACTACCGAGATAAGAGAAGAGTTTCAAACGGAATACGGGATGTTTAAAAACAGAAAAAAAAAGTTTACCAGGAGCAGAGTCAAACTTGGGCGGATAATTTGTTCCCTCTCCTGCAGCGTAATCCACTCCTAGAGACAAAGACGGAGGTGAGGAGATCAAAGTTGAATGTAATGAAAAGAGAGGATTATACTTGAGTCAACTGGACGCACAGCGATCTGGATGTTAAGATCTAAGAGGAATACAACGCGTCTCGGATTTTGAACAGTGTGCATGGCTGATGAAGAAAGCCTCAAAAAGCGAGTGCCCTTTAAAAGCAAGTGATCTTTGGGATGTTGATTGTTTTGGATGGTAAACAGATGCTTCATTGATAAGATTAACCCGCTCTTATTGGAGGGAAACCTTTCTGAATAAATTAACTTACTAGCTCCTTCCTCGAGCTCCGCGCTTCCTGTGTTGTTCCAGGTGCTGCCCCCTCCATAGCTTTCTTCTGTCTGGGCTGGCTCCGCATAGTCAGCAGGGTTGAATGTTCTGGGGAAGAAAGCAATAAGCGAATTGAGAATTGAGTAATTGAGTATGTACTGGCCACATTTGAAGGGCTGTCAGCACTACAAAAAAAAACAAAAGAAGACTTCAGTCATGACTGCGTGCCCACAAACAATAATCTGGGGTCCATTTTTAACTTACCTTCTACAGGTCAAAGTTTTGAAAATGTCAAGCAGAAGCAGTTCAATTCTTAATAGCTTCAAACCACTAGTGAGCATGAATATTGCACTACGAGTACTGTTTGAATAAATCCCCAGCTCTGCTCTTATCGTCATTACACTTTAAGCTAATAGAAACACTTCAGAAAAAGGAGTGACTGGGGTTGTAGAAGGAAGAGGAAATGATAAGAGGCTGAAGTGAATCCATTACAGTCTTTGAGAGTTTTTACAGTTAAGACATGCAAATAAGGACGTGTGAGCATCCAAATACTGCTTTTGTTGTTTCTCAACAACTCTTTTCCTGGTACTGCATGTCTTTCATTAATCTGACACATCCGTGCATGCTGGGAAAAATTACAGCTGGCGCAACCTAGCAACATGACGAAGTAAAAGACTTTTCTTTTGAGTCAAGCTAAGCTGCTTTCATTATTTGTCGAAGATATTTCCTGTGCAAATCTGAGGGCACTTATGGCTTGCATGAGCAGATTTAACATCAAATTTCAGGAAGGTCATTTCTTTTTCATATACTATTAATAGAATGTAGAGTAATACTTAGTTTTGATAATATTTTATATTAAAACATCCTGTTTTATGTCACTTAAAAGTCTCCCTACAGAAAAACAAGAATAACAGACACACCAGAGGCGATGCACTCACCTCTCACCTCCTGCAATATCATATCTGGGCCCCTTATCAATCTGGCTTTAGAGGGAAAATAATGGCAACAATTACAAGAAGCACAACAAAGTAAAAGTAGAAGATAAAGCTTTTGTTTTTCAAACCATAATCCAGAGCAGCAGCGTGAGCAAAATGCCTTTGATCTGCCTGTGCCAGTAGTGTAACAAAACACTCTACGCCACCTGTCAGTCACTCCCCAATGCAAGGCAAGCCAGTGTGCTTTTAGTCGTGGTGGGTAAATACAGTCCAAGAAACCCCAACTCAGAAGATTACACAATGCAGCCACAAACACAAAACCCGTTGCTAGATGACAGCAGTTATGCAAGAGTAAATGCAGTAATCTTTCCACTGATGCAGTTAATGGCTAAAACAATCTCAGGACTTTCAATGATGCCCATCACACAGCCGCATCATCTCAAAGCTATTGCTGAACAGTCACACAGGATGCCGATGGGAATGCATCAGTCCGCATTCAATATCTCCTCCATTGAAATAATTCACCATCTTCAGTCAACTAGTCGTATTTGATCTCACTGTTCTTTTAGTAAAAATTGGATGACGAACACACACTGTGATAATCGTTGACCAGCTTTGAATTGAACTGGCTAAATTCAGATAAACAGCTCAGTCTCCACCAGAGCAAAACCATACTTACTATAGTCTTTGTAGCTGTGTCCTACAGTTGTAACCATTTTCAGGGGGGTTATATTCATGCCAATTTGGGGAAGGCCTCTATAGCCGCAACAAACTGGGAGTCCTATCGCTTCCCTTAGTTTCTTTTCTGCACACTCAACCACAGAACTCAAATACAAAGGCAGCTAACAGTTAACCCAAAGAGGCAGCGCTGTAAATGTGCCAACCAATGCTGTGGTACGAGTGAACACAACTGGCTATATAATGAATGCATCCTTTACGCCAGGCAACATCAGCAATGGAGGAGGTTGATTATATGCAGCCGTGTTACATGCTGCAGTTATGGTCAACACCACATTACCGTGTGTGCCACAATCTGAAGGATTCAAGATCAATTCAATACGGTTTTTAAAACCATGATCCATTTCACCAACGATGGGCCAATACTTAAGACTTATTATATTTCAGACAACACATCCAAAACTAATATTGTGCAAAACACAATGGACTTCCTTCAACAGTGTTTTCAAACTGGGGCAGCTTTAAAGATAGAGTATCTTCTGCATTGCATTAAATAATAAAATGAATGTGTCTGAGATTCTTGGCACCCTGAGGTTTTCTGCATCTACAAGCTACTGTTACTATGGAACTAAAAAGCTATATTTGGCTAAAAACCAACATTTGTGGATTATATTGAATTGACTTATTAAGTTCTACCCTATCATCCTAGTAATTTAAGTTTTACACCAACTTTAGAACAAATCGGTTTGATCAGCTTATTCTTCAGTAATAAATTGCGGTACTTGTTTCCCTTGTGAGCTCACAGTATTCAGGGCATGCTAACATTTTCAAGCAGAATATGTGTATGTGAGGTGAATGGTACATGCTGCCGTAGCATATCAAATGTACTAGCACAAGGTACCAGTGATAAACACAAATGCAATCCACTGTAATAAACTGATTAAAGACCTGATCTGCTTTAAGACACCTTCCTTTAAAGCCACGTTTCATTTAAGCCACCGTGTTTAAGTGACACTGAAGCAACGCTGGTGAACTGTGTCTGCTAGCAGCAAGATGCAAAAGCAATTACAGAACTGTTGTGTGGCATGAGGTGGGAGGTTAGGAAACATGAAGACACCTCAGCTAGCACTGCATGCAATTGTAGGTGCGAAGCCCCAGCACTCAGCTCAATTATGACCAATATGAAACAAAGCATATTGTAGTGCTCCTGGAGATATGCAAGTCAATATCTGGGTCCACACTTCACAAATGCACTTAAAATTGTTTGACATTTTCACAGCATCATGGAAACACAGAGCATACAGATGAAAACCTAAAAGAAATGAGGTTTTGTTACAGCAATTGTGTGCAGTGCACCACTTGAGCAAATATCTGTGAATTAAATCAAAACACTTTTAGTTTCATTCAAGTCTTCCTCTACCTTCTGAACCTCCGTGTTAAAATATATTTACGGCATGTTTACTGTAGCTTTGTAGCACACATTCAAGAGTGAAAATTACATTCAGGCTTCTCTGGGGAGGAAACCACTCAGCCGTTGACAGCACTAGAGAAAGCCACATCATATCACATGTGCTACTTTAGCAGATCAAGATAAAAAGAAGACTGTAAGATCTATAACTTCCCACCCAACTGCTTAAAGTCAAAAAGGTTGGACATGTCATGACAACTAAAATGTTTCACCATTAAATTTCTAAATTTGGATTGACTGTTCACTTGAGAAGTACCTCTTCTGTTATGACACCTACTGATCAAGATACCAGTAAAAGCAATAACGTATCAACTGATATTAACTGCACACACACACACACACACACACACACACACACACACACACACACAC